GTTGCTATATCGGTACCAATCATTCCAAGAGTCCATAGTTCGTGCTCAAGTTTTTGAATCTATCCTCGTGGACAGTATTCCCTCATCAACATGGTTTTTAAGCTCTCCCAACTTATTGAATTCGACACTATCAGAATAAGTACCTTAACGTGGCCATTCCACCAACTTAAAGCTCTATCAGTAAGCGTGAAAGTGGCAAACTTAACTTTGCTGTGCTCGGAACAAGAGCAGATTTCAAAAACTAATTATGTCCTTTCAATCCACTGCCTCAAAATCATCACATCGTCTGTCCCATTAAACATCTAGGGTTTGGCATTCGTAAAGTCTTTATTGGTGCATTCTCGGGGTTGACCATGACTCTCGCCGTGGTTGGAAGGAAGTGTGCCAATTCCCGAACCAGTAGTAACAGGGGTATTGATCTGTGACATGACAGCCGCTACAGCTACGGTGACTGCTGCTTGGAACATGGCATCATCAAATTGAGGAGGTGGAGGGGTCGTGGTATCGACGCTTCTCCACCGTTGTTTTGTCTCGGGTTTCTACACGGAGGCATCCTTCAAGTATAGATTGAAAAGACAAAGGTAAGAATTTCATAGCATAGAAAATGAACGCGTCTCATGAACTAAATTGTTATAGTTCAACAAAAGATGATAGTATGAGTCTTAAAGATAAAAGGACGAAAGTTATTCGTAAATCCGAATATATGAACCAAGCATATGGTTTCTCCATAATGTTTTAAGGATTGAACGAAATACTCAACGTAGTAATAATAGCGTGCCAATTATATTAATAGAATAGTTGATACAACGATCATGAAAATTTGAGCCTTTTAAGGGTCTCTGGTTACAAAGTTGAAGAAAAATAAATAAGACTTTTAGCCGAGGTCCTAACTTATAAAAAAATTTGGGATTTTGCCAAGCACTACTTGTGACGTGGGTTGCGCTTGGAGCTTGACTATGCATCCCATTGCTTTGATTCCATGACACGCCTATCGAAGGCGGTTTGTTGTTCCCTCATTTCGGAGAGGGCTACAATCATTTGCGCTTGGAATGCTTCGGTTTGGAGTTGGGCATTGTCCTGAGTTCTGTCCAGCCTACGGATGTCGGAAGTGTGAACATGTACTTCCACATTAACTTCCTGAATTCGGCTAGCTTGTACTACAGATTGGTAGGACTGGTTGGCTAGTTTGCCCACCATGACTGCGAGTGCTCGATCGGCTGAACCTCCACCATGGACATCGTAGAAGTCTCGAAACATGCCGTAGGGAGGGCGTATACTTTGTTGCTGGCTCCAAAGGTGGAGGTGACTTCCCCAAATGGGAGTCGGTCCTTGAAAGTTCCTCACGATGATGGGAGGTTGTGTGGGTGGTGGGTTGATTACTTCCGACTCTGAATCGGTACCAGAGTCCTCCCTTCATCCAATTCTAGGGGTTCTTCATCCTCCTCGGGATCCTCTTCGATCCATCCCCTGTTGCCTTGGTTGGGATAGTAGGGGTCGCCGGGGTGATGAAATCCAGCCATTTGACTGTACGAGAACAAGGTTATAAGAATAGATCAAAATTTGGAACATGTAAAATTAAACATGTAGGTTAAACTATTTTATGTACCAAATACTCCTATAGTATTTAAATTCGTGTGTTTGATCCTTGTGATGTTTTGGTATGTTTCGACTTGTTGCTCACTACGAGCATTCCTCGATATATATATTGGTCCGATTTCGGATAAATATAGTTGATCATGCTATATTTTTCCCATATTGGATTACATACATCTAGGCTTAATCGTAGTTTCCAACATGCCTAAATACTTCTTGTATAGTTATAATTATGAAAATAAGTTTTGGTATGCATGTACTTGTATTTAAATGAACTAACAATTTAAGTTAAACGAAACGCGGATTAGGCGTAAAACAACAACAAAAAAAATGTTCTGTCAGAGAGTATTAGTCCCTTAAGCATTTATAGTTTGTATATCTTATGTGGTCCGATATACTTAGTTCACTATAAACATTGCTCTGATATCAATTTGTCACACCCCAAACTGGACGGCGGAAACGTTCGGGGGCGGATGACTTCATGTGGTAACGTAACAAATGAATACATAGTAAAGAATGCAATACAACCATCATATATATAATTGAAAGTTTACATTGCTAAAAGGTATATGTTCAAAACCAATTACAATATGATGCCAAAAATATGAATTTAAACTGGCACCGCAACGTCCCTTCTTCAAAAGCGGTTTGTTAGCTGCAATTACGAGTCCATGGGACATACAAGTAGTTTTGAAAGAGTAGATCAGCTTTTAAGCTGGTGAGTTTCAAAAGTATTAAACGATAATGTTTGTATGAATTAAAATGAAATGGTTTGTTTTTGTTTGTTGGTTCCTAGAAAATCCCATATTTTCTACTGGTATAAATGTAGCCTTAAATCAAGACCAATGTTTGTTTCTAGAAAATTGACGTTTTCCCATATGTGGGTAGTGGTTTAGAAGTTCCAAAATTGTATCACAATTATGTTTTTCATGCCTAAAGTAGTTAATTTATGTACGTATAAAAATTCCAATACGTCTGAAAAACCCCGTAAATCGATGTGTTTTTAATACTCCATGTGAGTTTTATAACCATGCTATTGACTAGAAATGCCTATACACAACGTTCTTCAGGCGTTGGAATGTTCTGACGTTTATCACCCCAAATGGTGTACTGTAGCTAACAGTCAGGGCGCGGGGTTGTCAATCGCGTATAGATCTACACACAAACACCATGCTCCCCCTCCAATGGATTTTGGTATATAATACAGGACTTGAAATGTGTACTCGAAAGTACGTGAAGTTAATGGCTCACAAAACTTAGTATAACATAGACTTATGTGTGAAAATGTTCGTTTGTTCTTGTATGTGAAAGTAACTTCTTGAAATAGTGTTTCTAGTATGTAAAAGTTTGTGATGTTCTCATAAAACTATACATCTTATAGTTTTCTAAAAGTGTGACTCGTTTGTACAGTAATCCCTAGTGAAATGCTTACTTGTTAAGAAAAATATAATTTTTGTAGTGCCTTAGATGGACACATATACATACAGTATAAGCAGAGTGTTTGATTTACACATATATAACAACATTTTTCATTTCAAAAGATATGATGTTATCGTGATATATTTTACATACGAAAGTTTCCCTATATTAGTTATAAATCACATATGATTCCGTTGATAAAAAGTGTATAGTGAAACTTTATATAATACCCGATAATAATCGTGTGGTTTACTTGTATTACCCCCCTTAAAAGCATATAAAAGCATTTATAAAACATTTAAAAGTGTGGATTATAGCGGTATGAACTCACTTGAAAGATCGGAGAAGGCGAGATGAAAATCGAGCAGAATTTCGACTCGAGAAAGCGGATTTTCTCGGGATTTTCGGGAATCTCACGAGCACAAAAGACCTTCGGGACTTGAGAAAAGAAACCGGGGCTTTGGGATAGCATGTGCACGAAAAACGAGGCAAAAACGCAAGAAAGTTGAGAGAAATTGAGCCATTTCTTCAGAACCCTCGCATCCCTTTTATAGGGGGTGGGAACCGCCTCGGTACGCTGGGCGTACGCGTGCGTCATGCGTGACCGCCTCCTCGACTGCCTCGGAGCTTCGGATGGGATGGGTATAGCCTCGCATAGGGGCGACGTGGATGATCCGAGGCCTAGTCCTCGAGTACGCTGAGCGTGACTCGGATCGACCTCGTGACTCCTCCTTCGGATAATACCGAGATTAAATAATAAAATTTATATTTTATTTATTTAATAAACTTCAAAAATTAATATCTTCTTCATACGAACTCTGTTTTTGATGTTATTTATATCCACGCATAGGTGAGACTACGCTCTACAACTTTTGTTTAGAATACGTCGGCAAATTTTGAAATTATTTTTATTGTTTATTATTAAAAGGTCGCGGCAAGAAAATTTGGTTAGAAATTCATAACTTCATTATCTGACGTCTGTTTTTGCCAGACTTTTTACCGTTGTAAAACCATTGTCGAGACCTTCGATTCTCATTTAGGTCATTCTGGCCAAAAGTCGCTCGATCTCCGTTTCGAGTTTTTAGCTGTCTGTCGCTAAGCCAAACTTGGAAAAATCATAACTTCTTTATACGAAGTCAGATTTGGGCGTTCTTTTTACGTACGATCACCGTTTAATGTCATCTAACATAGTAGGTAATTAATTTGAGATTTTTGGACATTTTATTTTCATTGTTAATTTCATTTATATCAAAAGTGGTTACAATACTTGACTTTTTAGGTCATTACATAGAGTTGAACTATCAGGTTTTCACAAAAATGAACTGATTAAAGAATCTAGCTAGAGTATGATGAAATTGAGAACCAAATCTTTCGGTCTGGTCTCTAACTTCATTGAAATCTCCCATCACCACGCATTCTACCGAAAAAGACGCAATCATTTTTGATACTTCATCGGATAGTTGTATTTTGGTGTCATCTCTTTGAGGGGCATAAACGGAAATCATCAAAACATCCATTCCAGAGATAACCCAAACACCCTCCATAGCCACATACCAGTAAGAGATGATCAATTTATTGTGAATAAAAATGTTTGGATCACAAATAAACAGAATGCCACCCGAAGCACCGCGAGAGGGAGAGAAAGCATCAGAAAATGTGGGATTACCCCAAAAAGAACGAGCTAGGAAAAGATCAATAAGGTCCTTTTTTGTTTCTTGAATAGCCAAAAAATTAATCTTGAATTTAGCACAAAGATATTTTATCCAAACTCGTTTGTCTAAAGAACCCGCTCCTTAGATATTTATAGATAGACAATTCATAACTGAACTTTTAAATGCTCCCCTTGAACAATATTTTTAACTTCATCAACACAAGCCTCCATGTTAAAACCAACGACCTCTCCCATAACAATTGTTTTTTTTAATTCAATCTCATTAGAACCATTATTGAATGATCTATCAGAGAACATTTCATTCGCTCCATACAATTTACTTGAGAAACCAGGGGGTGAGATTAAGAATCACCCGAAGATTGAATACCCTCCATACGAATATAGCCACCAAAAAACCAACCGGAACAGAATTTTTAGAAGCTTCTGTATCAGCAACATGTGTTGTATGAGTCTCAAAATGAATAGTAGGTGCTGCTATCACTTTGGCTGGAGCAGCATGGGTTGCCTGCGAAGAAACTGCAGCAGTATAGGCTGCAACTTGTGATTCAGCGTGAATGGAGGTAACAGTAGCCATATTTTTGACAGCCTCTCCTAAATTAGTGGATACGTAGGGGTGTGAGGCAGTAGAGGTATTTACGTCAGATCCTTGATGAGATGGAGAAGCATAAAAGAAATCATCTGTTGCTGAGTTCCCATTTTTCCCCCAAATACCATCTTTAATATCTTTACTCATTTTTATATTACCCCAACTATTAAATCCTTTAGGAACATCCGTATTCAATTCATTTGTTTTCATTTTTTCAATTACTTTATAAATACCAAATAGGTCCGATGATTCATCCTCATTCCCATCCGAAAAATGAGAATGTCCTTCATTATGATCCTGGTCTTGTAATGCACTTTCAGTCAAGTTAGGGGAAGGAAGGTCATAGATTAAGGAGGGTTTCCATCCTGGAGCCTCTTTAACTCTAATCCAATATGTAGACCCCTCAACACCGACTTTTAAAAGGAGGGTGTCCATCCTGGAGCCTCTTTAATTCTATTATTGTATATGTCTTCACCAAGATTATCATCTAACTGAGCAATTGATCCCCATTTTGAAAGAATTTTTCTGAACTGTTGGGCTTGTAGTGTTGCGTCATGGGCTTGGTCCATAGCCCAGTTTTGGTTGCCAATTTGGGCCTGTCCAATCGTGCATGTTTTGTTCTAGGATTTAGTATTTAAGCTGCATGCATGCGGTCTTTGTGTTTAACTATCTCACTTTATTTTCTCATTAAGTTTTGTAAACCCTAGCTCGCCTCTACAGTGTAAGTTTTTTATCGAGCTCTACTAAGGCGTAACTATATTGGAATCATAAGCGTATTGTTGATTGAATTCTGTGTTCATAGTATTATTGTGTTTGTTTTGTTTGATCTTCATCTTTTACCTGTGAAAGATCTAATCGATCTAAGTTTAATTCACAAAAATTGGTATCAGAGTAGGAGACTGTGTAATTCATACACATCTCTTCTGTCGAAGAAGTTAATAGGGTTTATTCTGCATTGATTGGTATTAATTGTGCTGTTATTCCATATTGACGTATCTCATTAATCGTCGATGTTACTCTAATTGATAAAATTACAAGTTTGGTCTTAAAACAGGTAATCGATCAAATGCTATCACAAGGTCCATGGATGATTCTTAAACCAATCCAATAAACATCTCCAAGAACATTGGTTCAACAACTAGGATTCCAATCTTGTATACTCAATATTATGAGTTTGGACGCATCACTTTGAGGATTATGTGATTGGATCGGAAGATAATGGGTACTCGATCTGGGAAGCTATCATTGTTGGCCCATTCGCTCACTCAAGTACATCAAAGATTGTCAAAACTTAGAAATAGTACAATCAGCTTGTGAATGATGTAAAAGATATCCCTCAAGACGAGAAAGAAAAGTTTCAATGCAACATCAAGGCCTTAAGGATGATTAGGTTTGCTTTGCAGTCAGATATGTTCCGTTTGGTGAGTTCTTGCGCTACTGATAAGGAGATATGGGACAGGCTAAAAGAATTGTATTCCACCGATAAAGATCTGGAACATTCGATTCAAACTCTTTTGCATTCTGAATTAGGTGATTTCAAACAGAAGCCCGAAGAGAAACTGGTTTAGGCTTTTGATCGTTTTAATCATCTCTTAAATAAGATGATAATGCATGGGATTGAAAGGAAGGTTATTAAATAGAAAGTTACATTCATGAACTATCTAAGACCTGAATGGATGGCTGTCGTATCCACAGTTGAAGAACTTGAACAGTTTAAATCGTATTCTTTGGCGAAACTGGTGGGAATTTTGAAATCCCATGAAAATGCACTATCTAAGGAAATGAATGTGGTTTCTAGTTTCGGTTCGTTAGCCCTTGTTTCTAAAGGGAAAAGTTCTATTCAAGAAGAAGAGGAATTGAATCTTGCCTACTACGATCTAACCGGTGAAGAGTATGCCCTGTTGGTGTCCAACCCTAGAAAGTTCATTAAAGGAAAGTTCCTAGCCAACAAGAATCGAAACTGGCAGGGAAGTTATAACGCTGAAAAGGTTAAGGAGGACTGAAGATAGGGTCGATGTCACAAGTGTCCAAGAAAGAAGTGAAAATTGGTGGAGACTCAGGATTTGATTGCCATTACTGTGGAGTCAAGAACCACTTTGCCAAAGAGTATATGCTGAAAAAGAAAGCAGAAAAGATAGATGATGATAATGAAGAAGCGAGCCTCTTGAGATGACTGGAGGAAATCAAGAAAAGAAAGTCAGTTGCTAACAATAAAACTATGAATGCTTTGATTGTCCTGGATACAGGCAACCGTGATGAATTCGATGGCATGGAAATATGGTCCACGGATTCGGAGGATGAAGAAGTAAGAAAACCCACTCATGGTAAAGCGATGCTGGAAAAAGAAGAACTAGCTGCAGGGAGGTGTTTAATGGTGACCGAAGGTGTATCTCAGATGAGAGGATATACAACTGATGGTGGGATAGAAGGCAAGAAGGAGCGAGCGGATAGATGTTTTGTTGTGCAACCTGTTAATGCACAAATCAACGAATGTGATGAGTTGATCAATAAGGTACAAAATATTCTTGCTTCTCTAAATATACCTGTTACTAACTATGAAAAGGAATTGAATAGCTTAAAATCTAAATTTTCAAGTATAAGTAGCAGTCTTACCCAAACCCGTGTCACAAACTCTAACCTGACTGATCAATTGGTCTTGACAAAATTGAATCCTACATCATTGGGCGAATCCGTACAAACTGCCAGTGAAGCATCTTCAACAAATATTGAAAACCATGATCGTGCTTCAAACAAAAAGGCCAACATCCACAAAAATTGAAAACAGGTGGCAGATCGAAAACACCAACGAAATCTGAGATACAAGAAGAATCTCTCAGAAAGAAAATAGTTTTGGAGATCGCAAAATACTCACTATGTCAGGAACGTAAGGAAGCATAAGGCACAAGAGGAATCAAGGAACCGAAAGGGTAGTTTTGGTCCCATGACTAAGCGGAACTGAAAGGAGAGTTTCGATCCTCAGAACAATATCAAGCGAAAGAGCAGTTTTGGTCCTCAACCTAATATCAAGCGAAAGAGCATTTCGGTCCTTAAGCCGATATCAACCGAAAGAGTGGTTTCGATCCTAAACCCAATATTAACCGAAAGAGCGGTTTCAGTCATCAACTCTATAGCAACCGAAAGAGAGATTTCGGTCCTCAACCCTACAAGTTCAATCAGACGAACAGAAGATCCAATGTCACTTCTAAACCCAAATCTTCTCATTCTAATTCTTATCCTTTAAATATTTAAATGGGAAAGGAAAGCTCGTCCAGAAGATGACAAACGTCCAAAAGAAATCCAAAAGAAGGCTGGCATCAAAATCTCAAAACCTACGACTAATGAACCTAAGCCAACCAAAATTAATGTTTTTACAATAAAATGAAAAGATGAAACAACTTTGATTAAACGTACTTATTTAGTTGATATCTCTCTTACTATTCCCTATCCTGTAAAAGGCTCACAAGGACCCAAGAAATTTTGGGTTCCTAAATCTGGTTAGTATTTTGCAGGTTATCTGTGACGAGCAGTTTTACGAATAATGGTATAATGATAGGGTCTGCTCGCGTCACATGACAGGAAGGAAGGAATAACTGAGGGAATTTCGGTCTCACAATGACGATGGTATTGTGAAGTATGGTAACAACTCATATGGAACTATCGAAGGCTATGGAATGATTACGAATGGTGATTTCTTGATAAGAAAGGTCGCATATGTTGAAGGGTCCAACACAACCTTATCAGCGTATCACAGCTGGTAGTTGGAACTGGATTGAAGGTATCGTTTGATGATGAAGGATTAGAAATAGTCGAGAAGAAATGCAATAACATTCTGTTGAAATCGAAGCAAAAGACGGAAATGTACCCTTTAAACCTCAACCCAATTGGAGGTAAAGCAACAATTTGCTTACTTACGAAGGCTCACTCAGGCGAAAGCTGGTTAAGGCATTGAAGACTCTCTCATCTTAATTTCAAGGATATCAACAAGCTGGTTTTAAGAGATCATGTTCGAGGTCTTCTAGTTCTCAAATTTGACAAGGAACATCTATGCACAACTTGTGAAATGGGAAAGCAGAGTAGACAAAGTCATCCCTCAATTGTCAATACAAAGGTGATTGATCCATTGGAGCTATTGCACATCGATCTGTGTGGTCCTTCTTCCATTGAAAGCATCGGTGGAAACAAGTACATACTGGTCATAATGGACAATTTCTCTCGATTCACATGGGTGTTCTTCTTGAAGCAAAAATCTAAGTCTACTCCAAAGCTCAAGCTCTTCATAAAATAGGTATAAATTCAACTGAGGAAAGTTGTTTGTAACGTAAGAAGCGACAACGGCTTAGAATTCAAAAACAAAGATTTTGATGATTTTCTTACTGAGAAGGGAACGACTCACAATTTCTCCACCCCTTATACTCCACAGTAGAATGGTATCGTTGGAAGGCGCAATTGATCTCTGTGTGAAGCAGCTCAAACGATGTTGTGCTTTGCATCCTAACCTTTATATTTTTGGGCTGATGCAATTGCTGCTGCTTGTTATACTCAGAACAGATCATATCTAAACAAGCGATTCTATATCACTCCTTACGAGATCTTGAATAATCGTAAACCGAATGTGAAATTCTTTCATGTGTTCGGTTGAAGATGCTCCATCTTCAACTCTAAAGAGAATCGAAAAAAGTTTGATGTTAAGGCTGATGAAGGAATATTCTTAGGTTACTCACTGAATTCCAAGGCATATAGAGTTTTAAACAAGCGCTCTAAGAGGATTGAAGAAACATACTATGTCACTTTTGACGATAACTATGTTAAGAAAATGAAGACAACCGAAGATGTAGTGCAGGAAATTTTTCCAAAGACAAGTCACGTTATAGCCTCTATTTCAAATATTTTCGAGCAATATATGCTTCTTTTTGATGAACCTCAAATGGAAATTGATTCCGAATCAACGGAGAAAGAAAACAAGGTTAATAGTCTAAAGAAAATCATCGATGATGCTGCTAGAAGGATGGCTGATGATCAACCTTAAGCAACCGAGAGGCCAGACGTAAGCGAACCTTTAAATGACTGTCCTAATGTCCAGGGGGAGGGTCCAGTTCTACAACATGATCAAGACTCTTCATTCCAGGGGGAGAACTTAAAGTCACATTCATCAAGTCTACTGAAAGTCCAAACGAAGAGGAAGGTATTCGTCCAGACTCCGAACAGGCGTCATCCTTCGAGGGGGAGAACACCAATGTAAATGACGACAACACTCTATCAGAATTGGAAGAAAAAATTAATGCCGAATTGGATCCCTCTTGTGATCCAAATTACCCACTGCTTGTTAAATGGACCAAAGATCATCCACAGAGTCAAATTATTGGGGAATCTTCAGAAAAGGTGTTAACTCGATCCCAGATCAAAGAGAAACAAGTTGCACTCTTTTCTCAAGTAGA